TCTTCTTTATTAGTGGCTTGTTTTGTGACTTTCACAATTCCGCCAATGTCACGTCGTAGGTAGCCTCTACACGGGAGGAGTGGATTTGTTTTCAAATATAATTTTGATCCTTACTGCTGTCTGTGAGACTCGAAGCGGGTTTATCTAAAATAAAGCACACAGTTGCAACATCACAGGACAACACAAAGCATAGCCTAATAAAACAGGGTTGTTAATAAAAGTTATAGGTATATTAATGATGAGTTAATGCAAGCAGTGTAGTTTTAGATAGGGGTTATATAAGAAATTAAAAGTAAATAAATAATTAGATAGAATACAAAAAGGGAAAAAACAGAAAAAGGTAAACATTTTACAATTTTAATTGGTTAATTGCCAAAAATTTTTTTAAAATTTTAAAAGGGGAGGGCTTGGACATCTCGAGGATGCACTTTATGTTGGTTGGACGAGGGACATCTTGAGGGAGTAAATCGTAAAGAGAAATGTTCAGCTTAGGGCAGTTAAAAAGAACATGATCTGTGGTGCCATCCTCAACGCCACACTCACACAGAGAGGTATCCCTTATCCTAATTTTAGCAAGATGGACGGGTGTGCATGCATGCCCAAGCCTTAGGCGACAGATGATGGATACGGCCTGTTTACTGAACAGTTTTTGTTTAAAAAACCAGGGTTTGTTTGGGATACATTTTTGAATCTCGTAGTAGTATTTACCTGCCCGATTTCTGGTGTTTTGCCAATCGACCTGCCATGATCTCAGTAGATGATCATGCGCCAGGGTGAGAAGATCATGGTGGTACACTTTGTCATAAGTTGGGGAGCCACTGGTAATGGCCTGTTTAGCACATAAGTCTGCAGTCTCGTTACCGGGAATACCGCAGTGCCCTGGGATCCATGCCAGGATAATGTTAAGTAGTTTAAGTTGGCATCGGTACAATACTTCTCGGATTTTCAAAATAATGGGGAACTTGTTTTTGAGGCGGAACGGATTAGATAATATTGCCTGGAGGGAACTTTGAGAGTCACTAAAAATAATGGTTTTACCTAAATTATGGGATTCAGCAAACTGGATTGCCTCAAGGAGAGAGACCGCTTCTCCGGTAAACACAGAGGTTAGCGGTGGGAGTTTGTAGTTAAGGAGTACTTTGTAGGCAGGTATCCATACGGCTGATCCTACAGCACCACCTTCCTGCAATTTAGAGGCATCCGTGTAAATCGGAAGCCAGCCTTCGTATTTGGTAGCTAATTTTTCTTTTAACAGTTTAGATGCGTGAGGAGAATCTTTGTTAATGCCAAAATTGAGGATGATCTCTGGTTTAAATGTTAGTGATTTAAAATTATTGTTAAATATTGGGAGTCGAGTGAACTGCTCTATGGGCAGGGAAGGTTTCCAGAATTTGTTAAAACTATGGAGCACACACGGCGTTTTATAATTAGCAGATTCCCTCGTCGCCTGCGACAACATCTGTAACCGTTCCAGAAGAGGGTGAGAAGCATGTTGCACTGCTTTAATAAAAAATCGATCACTAAGGAATTGCCTACGAAGGTAAAGGGGAGGATCCACGCATTCGATTTGGAGTCCATTAATCGGGGATGATTTCATAGCGCCCAAAATTATGCGAAGACATTTAGATTGTATTTTAACTATTTTATCCAGAGGTAATTTGTTACATGGATCCAAAAGGAAGGAGCCGTAATCCAAATGGCTACGGACTATTGCGTTATATAGCAGTTTTTGGGTAAAAGGATGTGCACCCCACCAAATACCCGCGAGGGTACGGAGAATGTTAACACCTTTCTCACATTTACCGCTGATGTAGTTAAAGTGTTGAATCCCACTTAGTTTGGAGTCTAAAAACATGCCCAAGAATTTGACATGTGTATCTACGGGAATGTAGTCACCCTGACATAAAATCTGGGGGGATGGGATATTCCTTTTTCTACAAAATACAACACAACAACACTTGGGAACCGACAATGACAAGCCATGCTCGGCTAACCAATCGCTCAGATAGGTTAAGGCAGAAGTGAGGCGTGATGTTGCTTCCTGGACTGATTCTGATCGTACATACAGGGCTACATCGTCAGCATACTGCAGGACCTGGCAGAACGAGTTAACCGTCATTTCCAGATCCAGCGTGTAAACATTGTAGAGCAGGGGACTAAGTACGGAGCCCTGGGGGAGGCCTTTCCAGACAGATAGGGGAGGAATAGAAGTACCATGGCAGCGAATTTCGATAGATCTGGCTGAAATCGAGTTAACAATAAAACGAACCAACTTCTCAGGGACACTCAGCTGTCGTAGCTTACTTCTGAGCACCGGAAGAAGGACGTTATCGTAGGCGGCTGCTATATCCAGGAACACGCCTACGACATACTGTTTTTTTTGAAATGCTAAACGAATATCTGTGGTTAGGATACTCAAGCTGTCTAGTGTACTGGATCCCTTTCTGAACCCGAATTGAGTTTTTGCCAATAGACCGTGCCTCTCTAAAAACCATTCCAGTCGATTCCTTATCATATGTTCCATCACTTTGAATAGGGTAGAGGATAGGGCAATCGGTCTGTACGAGTTGCAGTCGAGGGGATCTTTGCCGGGCTTAAGAAGAGGGATGATAATTTGCTTGTTCCACTCATCCGGTATGATACCCCCGTCGAAGAAGGTGTTAACTAATTTTAGATAATATAATTTTGTTTTTTCCGTTGAGTTTACGAGGAATGAATATGGGATGCCATCTATTCCCGGAGCAGTATCCTTAAGCCCAGTTAATACCATATTCAATTCCAGTAGAGAGAAAGGACCATCAAGTTCTTCAGAAGCCGAGATATAGGTGAAAGTATGCAATGGGAGATTGGGAGATTGTCCTTGTTTGGGACTGATGGGGGTGCTAGCTTGTCTGCAAATGAGTGAATCCAACCTGAGGGGTCGTTTGAGGTGTTTCCTTTAGGGCGTAGAGAGCCGCGGAATCTTTTAATCTGTCTCCAGACTACGGATGATGGAGTACGAGGTGACATGCTTTCACAGAAATTTGTCCAACCATGTTTTTTCTTTGGGGCCAGAACCCTTCTACATTGGGCTGCTACCTGCTTGTAGTGTAGAAAGTTCTCCTGAGACATTAGATCATTGTACTTCTTTTCTGCCTCCTTCCTTTTACGGATGGCGTCCGTGCAATCAGCGTCCCACCACGGAGGTGAAATCCTTCTGCGCGTTGTTTGTTTCTGAGGGATATTGGTGTGTGCTGACGTTAAAAGGGTTTCCTTGAATGCCCTGTATGCCGTAAGACAACTGTCCGGCGTCACGTCAGGGAGGGACTCCACTTTGTTATTGATTTCCATCGAAAAAGATGACCAGTCAGCTTTATTTAATCTAAATTTTAAAAGTGGGGGAGTGTAATGAACTTTTAATCTTTTATCCGGCATAGAGATAAGAATGGGGTAGTGATCACTTCCATATGTACTTTTGAGAGTGCACCATGTTAAAAGAGAAGCCAACTGCGGGGAACAAATTGTTAAGTCTATTGCACTGCATGGGTTCTGAGTTGGGTTGGGCCTTCTTGTGGGGCTGCCGTTATTTATAACGCACAAATCCAGCTCATCCAGGAGGTCAATAAGCAGGGTGCCAAATGAATCTGAACGATAAGATCCCCAGGACTCATGGTGCGCGTTAAAATCGCCCATAACAACTATAGGGGAGGGGAGCACTGATATAATGGAGCGAAGATCTTGCAAAACAAGAAAATTAGGGTGGGGAATATATATTGACACAAAAGAGATATCATCAATCCTTACTGCTACGGCGTTAAGTATATCTCTATTGTGTGAGGGGAGATGGATTTGGGAGAAGAGCAATGATTTATTAACAAAAAGTGCGCTCCCTCCATGTCCATCATCCCTGTCATCACGGAGACACGAGAATCCGGGCACATTGAAGATGTAGTCCCTGGGAAACCACGTCTCCGAGATGGCAAGGACTAACGGAGAGATTGTGTTTATTATATGTTGGAATTCATGTTTTTTGGATTTTAGACTGTTACTATTCCATTGAACAATATTCAGAGCCATTTTTAGTGAGTAGATTTAAAAGAGGTAAAATTTTTGGGGCAACGTTGGGCGGTAGTGGGACATCACTGAATTTTTTTAGAATGTTAATGACCAGTAACCATAGAAGGTCAAGGCAGTCATCATTAGGGGAGGTCTCTGTTGTGTTTGAGGGGTTACCTAAAGCACAGCCATCAGGAAGAGTAGAAGGACAATCTCTAATTATATTGTTGTGTGCTTCTCTGTCGTAACTTTTCCCTAAAGGGCCTGATTGGCGAGGTGTCAGAAATACTGTTTTTCTGTAAGACTGTGTTAGCGGGGTAGAGGGAGACAATTGTGTTGGGAAGGGTGGTGAAAGTGTAGTGGGTATGCTAGTGGACACCCTTGATGTGTCCGCATATGATCTTTTAACATTTGGGAAGAGAGCAGCAGCTTCCTGAAACGATATATTGTCCTGTGACATACGCATTTTGATAGATTTTTGCCGGGAGTGCTCAAGGCAGTTCCTGCTTGTGGCGAAATGGGTTCCTGAACAATGCAAACAAGTAGCATTATCCTCCACTACTGAGCAAGTCTCCCCGGGGTGAGATTGGGCGCATCTGTAACATCTAGGCTTGGATCGGCATTGGGTCTTAATGTGCCCGAAACGGCAGCAGTTGTTACATTGTATTGTGGGCAACTGGTAAGCATCTACTACTATAGACGTGTAATAGAGGAAAATTCTCGAGGGTAGATTTTGACCTTGAAATGTCAGTACGACCGTTTGGGTGGGGGCCCATGTAGTAACTCCATTATCAATCTGTTTGCGGTTTAGTCTTCTAGCTTTGAGCACAACACCACAATAGTCAGGTGTAACCATAGCCTCTACTAGCTCCTCCATTGTCAACTCCGTAGGGATACCTCTGATGAGCCCTAAGCGTGTGACATTGTAGTTCGGAATCACAGCTTCATATTTATATAAAGGTAGGAAATGATTGTTGATAAACTCGTTGGCGTCCTTACCAGTCTTAAATTCCACAGCTATTCTGTTCCGACCAACCTTTTTGATTCCACCATAAACAACATTACTAATTTTATTTTTGTTTAAAAATTGACCAAAGATTATGGGGCGGATAGTAGTACCAGACGAGGGAGTTGTCTCCTGTCGTGAAACATGGACAATAAACGGACCTTTATCCTGTTCCGAATACAGTTTGGGCATTTCTGTCAGCGACGGGTGAGTGTAAATTGCCTTGGGATCACTGGATTGGCTTGTAACCGGGGGTGTGGACGACGGTTGTTGCAGTGAATCCGTTATAGCTTTTTTATTGGGTTCTGGTTGAGACTCATGATCAATATCCAGACGTCGTTTTGTGGCATAAGGCGTAAAGACAGCAGGAGATAACTCCATTGGCACTGGAGACAGATCCCTGTCCGGAGGGTCAGGGGGATCGGGAGGAACCCTGTCCATTGTTTACGACGTAAACAACGGAAGGGAGGGAGTTTAGTTAGTTATTAAGCACTTACCCAAGCAGGTAAACATAAAACACAACTATACACTAATATAAAACAGCTCAGAGACTGTGGAACAATCGCCTAAAATAACCAAATTCCAAACACGTGTATCAGCTAACACTCCGAACCCTTTTAATTTTTCATTGTGTTTGTCCATCGCGTCTAGTGTCAACTCTTCGTTTCGCCAAGGAGCATATAGATGGCGCTGTCATAATTTTACGAAATAAACACCCGTATTTTTATTTTACGAAAAATTATTTCCTATGTGCTATCAAATAAAAAACAAACAAATTACTGAAGAGATATATGTAAATAAATAAGTTCAACTTAACTTTTAATCATTACAAATCAATATTAAGACAATAAAACTGAAAATAATATTGTTTC